ATTTTCAATATTCATAGAAAAGATAAGTCAAGCGAGCCTTCCAAAAAAGTATTGTAAAATAATATAAAAAAATTTTTATCAATTGTGTAACGATTTTGTGACGTATCAACGGTTCCTCCTGTTTAAACAATGCTAATTTTTTGTTAAAAAACACAAATTAGGCTATACAAAACCTTTTTTGATTTTCATAATATAAATCTGTTTAAACAGATCCAGTTAACTAACTTTTTTTTTAATTTTAAATAAAACTTTTATAAATTTTTTACAAGTTTTCAAATTTTGACTAAATACTAACCTTAAATTTTTTGTAAAAATTTTTAAATTTTGTAATAAATTTTAAGTTTTTTTTTTATTTTTAATTAAAGCTTTAATTTTATTTTTGCTTTTAGAATATTTTTTTTTAGTTTGAATACCAAATATATTAAAAATTTATTTAAAAAAAGCTTAATTCCAATACAAACTATCAAAAATCCATCTTATTTGATATCTTTTGTATTTTATCAACAACCAATCTACTTTATAAAACCAAAAATATTATTTACTTTTAGCTTTTTTTATAGAATTTTTTTGTAGTTTAATATTTTAAAAAGTTAATTAAATAATTATTAGAAAAAGTCTTTAAATATTAAATATTAAATATAATTATTACTTATCAATATCAACTTATTTGAATTAAATGATTATATTAATATTTATAAAGATCAATAATTTTAGTCGACTACTATCATATGCAGCATAGCAAATAAGCACTTAAAGCTGTTCTTAATTCTGGAACAACTGATAAAGATTGATCGATGATTATTCAGCTAAATTCGATAAGTTTTTATTTTTTATGATCAATGTTTTAATATTATTTAATCATACTGCAAATTTGTTCTCGTTCACTCAATGTAAATGGAGACAGACCAAGAAACCTTTTCGTATGATGAAAAATATAATCATTTTTAGATTTAAATAGATGATTAAAATTGATTCCAATAACACATTTGCAATACGATCAGCCTATCGCATATCAAGAATCGCACTCAGATTTAGATAAATCATTAAAAATTGAACGATTTGCATATTATACTATAAGTTTCTCCATGGCTTCTTAATATGAATGCATTATCAGGATCGATTTATAATGATTTATTTAAAGTGCTGGTGATTCCAAATACATGCTCATTATTCAATATGTTGCACCATCTCCTCTTAATGCAAGTAAATTATTCGGATCAAATGCTAATGGTTTATTTAGATTTCCAAGATTCAATAAGTTTCTCCATGACCTCTTAATACTCCTGTATCATTTGGATCCAATGCTAATGATTTTCTCAGATCCGCAAGTGATTCTTCACATTTGTTTATCATTTGCATTAATTAGATAAATCTTTAATGATCCATTTAAGTCTAAAAGAGATGCTTCATATCTACCTATCATCTAAAGGTTACTCTAAACTCCTTAATGCAATTGCACTATTTTCCCGATTGTTAATGATTTATTCAAATCTGCAAGTGATTCCTTGTATCTTCCTTATTGATAATATATTACTCTACGATTTTTTTTAATGCGTCTGCACCTTTTGGATCAATTTTTAATGGTTGATTTAAATCATCAAGTGATTCCTTATATTTGCCCATCTTACGATATGTTGCCCCATGATATCTTAGCAAGAATGCGTCTGCAAGTCCTTCTTTATAATGCGACAGGTTCGGTTTCTATGCCAGTACATATTAATAGTCGACTTTTAAAAAAATAGCTTAGTCGACTAAGTCGGCTAAGTCGATTAATGCTAAGTCGATTATATCGATAGTTGACTGTACTACGAATCATTAGAATTAATATTTTTGATAAATCTTCAAGGACATCACGTGGTTCAGAAAATTTGTCGCGCTATCCGTTTGCAATTGAGCCAACCTCGTATCTTTATTGGAACATTGAATTATATGGGCTGAGTGCTGCAAGAATGGGGAAACCAACAAAAAAAAAAATCTTCGGTAAATCAATTTTTATGTTATAAATTATAATAAATCATAAGAAAGCAAATTTTGAAGAGCTATCTGCAAAATTTTATTAAAACAACTACTTTTGCGTCTTATGTAAAAAATACTGGATTTATAAAGATGCCTAAAATTGATTTGAATTCTCTAAGCTTAATCAGATAATGGGCAAAACCGTTCTTTTTTGATTAACGTTAAGGCCTTAATAAAGTTAATCACGTGAAACATGTAAAGTCGATCAGTTTTAATAAATTGCGTAATAATGACTCATATATAATGATTCTAATAAAAATTTTTTTTCAAAACTTATAAGTATACCGGCAATAGCTCAGTTGGTAGAGCGGGAGACTGTAGTGAGGAATACCTCAACACCGATATCTCTAGGTCGCTAGTTCAAATCTGGCTTGCCGGAAACACAAAGATTTTTTTTTTAATTTTAAGGTTAATGCCCAGTAAAATGATTATTATGAGTTGGTTAATTAAATTAAATAAAAAAGTAAAGAAGTCTTAAATTTTACAATGGTAAGGGTGATGGCTTATTCCGCTTCAGGACCGATGATTTTCTGTGGTGCTAAAAAAAATTTTGTACATACTTATAAAAAAATAAATTCTGTGATGTGAGCAATTTTTGAGAATTAGTGCAAATAACTAATTGTTGCCTAAATTCGACCAAACTTTATTGACAAACCATATGCTTCCGAACCAATGTGCTCGTAATTCATGTTCGTTAATTGTCCACCTTTCCAAAGTTACCAATGCCGGCCTAAACTAAATCACCCATTTATAAAATTAGGATTTATTTGATTTCTGTGGTTAAATTATGTGATCCTTCTATATAATTTTACTATTTTCTGTGGTATTCTGCGGTAATATAAACATATTCTGTGATATAGACCTATTTCTGTGAATTCTGTGGTATTATGTGAAACACAGAAATCGGCCCTGCTGTCTGTACGTACTAATAAAATTGACGAGGACTAATTTTAATCAAGCTGAGCATCCTTTGGCTCTGCGGACCAGAGCCGAGCCATTTACAAACCGACCAACACCGAGCATAGCTGAGCCGTTACTATGGTTAAAAATTCATTTGAGATATGTCAAGCCACTGCTCATAGATAGCCGATGCTGACATAACAATATAAATTTCGCGATTAAGTTTTCAAGTTATATTTTTTATATTTATATATTTTTTGTGTCGGCCGTGATCTGGAATTTACAATTAGTTAATGTTCGTGGTAAGAATTTTTCATCTCATGGCTCTAGGATCAACTTCATTAGTAGACTTACAGCCGAACCGTTGAACAGTGTTTGGCCGCATTACAACACAAGATACCTGATATGTACGTTCAGTACGTACTGCTCATTCATAACAATTTGGTTAGTGTTAGCAAGTATAGCGATAGATAAATAAAATTTAAAGCTGTTAAGCACAGAAATTCAGGCTCTTTAATTATTTTACTCATGCTGACTTATTTGATGAATACAAATATCATATGTAATAGTATTTAAATATTTACCTGGACAATACTATTTGGATCAATTTATTCATTTGATGCTGAAATTTTGTAATTTAATATCTCAAGAATTTATTCATGATTATCTGGTTGGTATATACGAGTTATTTCGCTTATATTTGATAAGCGCAGATTCATTTATCCAAGTATTTAGTGAGCGTAAAAATTTATTAAAAATCGATTCAACTTGGTGATTCAAAATTATCCTTCCAAGGATAAGATTTAAAGTCAGTTGAAGCCCAAACTTTAATGTAGATGATTATTTACTTTTAAATTATATTGTTAGTTTTTTGCGCTGCCTGAAAACATATAGTATCCGGCGAATATTAAAATGAATAATTATTTATAATTATTCAGCAAATAATGTGAATAAAAAGATCTTGTTCGAATAGGCATTTATTCACATAATAGCTATATCGATACGATACATTTGTCATGTGAGCTCTAGTCATTGGCTGTATCGCATCCAATGACCTTTTTAGCGTTAGAATAAGATATTAATAAGCCGCAGCAATTTGAATTACACGGAATTTTGTCGGATGTCAAATTTCCTAATTATTTACGTTGTGTGATGTGTTTGACCAATTTATATAAGGTATAGTTTTGTTTTTTTTTTAGATTTTCATTTTTTTTTTTTCACCTCTAGTCAAAACGTATCATGTCAGACGACGGTTCTTTGGATCTATCATCAATTTCCGATCCAAGTGACTTTCCTCAAGCGTCACTTAAACTTCTTGACACTCTTCCGCGTTGTTCAATATGCAAGGACTTTTTTAATACACCAATGATTGCTGACTGTGGGCACGTGTATTGTTCCCTTTGTATTCGACGGTGTTTGAACATAGAACAAGTATGTCCAGTTTGTCGAACGAGCATATCGGAATCGCAATTATTCAAAAGCCCTGATACTGAAAATATTGTACAAGCATGGATAGACATGAGGTTCGTTTTACAAATATTTGATGGTTTTTTTTTTTTTTTTATTTACACAAGTATTTTATTATACAGACAGACGTTATTAGAAGGTGCCCTTAAAGACGAAAAGACAAAAGATATTTCTTCCAAAAAGGCGGAAACGTTTACCATTAAAACAAACTCAACCAACGAACAGTTTAATGCTAAAAGAAAGCATTTACATATACCGGAATCTACTAATAACTTTGCTCCGTCTGATTTATAACCATTTTTGACTATTGACAATATATATTGTTTAAAATGATTTGAATAAAAACAATTTACTTCATGAACATCTTAAAAGAAATTCCTGCCAATCTGTTGTGATCAAAAGTTATATCACGCGATTGCTCATGTAATTAGAATAATACCGTGAGATTAGGGAATGATCTGTTGATTATCGTTATATCTCAATATATATATTAATTAACGTTGACTGAATTTTGTTTCTTACATTCTGTCAAAATGACACTTAACAACTCATTTCTTCAGTTACTTCAGGGTAAGTTCGAACGTTGTGTGAATATTATAAAGTTTAACTTTCCAAGTGTTATTTCAAGTGTTATTTGGTCATTTTATATAAAATGTATGTTTTCTATTGTACTTTAACCAGAAAGCCAAATTATTACGGCAACCGTTACCATTTTCTCTATTATCGGAGCCCTCTTCATTTTATTAAAAACTCTAAGCTTTTTAAAGTTAATAATCGATGTTTTTGTTTTACCTGGAAAGGACGTATGTATTAATATTTTAACTTTTTTTCGTAATAGCAACGCGTACAAACTGAGTATCGGACTTTTTTTTTTTTTTGGTTAAGATAATAACGTGATACTCAGTTGTAAATTGTAAAATTTTATACTATAGTTATATTATAATTTCAATAGGTTAAGATTGTTAACCGAGTTCTCATTATTTCATACTACGTGTTATTTATGTGTTATTTCATACATATTTATATTTATAGCTCAGGGAGTTTGGCGCCGGGCAAGGTGCTTGGGCTGGTGAGTTTCTCATTTATTGCACAAGTTTTTTTAGTTATAATATTAAAAAATGAATGGTCTTTTTTTTTTTTGTATAGTTGTTACTGGCGCGTCTGACGGTATTGGAAGAGAATATGCTATGCAGCTAGCCGCTGCTAAATTTAATATTCTTATGGTTTCTCGTACTGCATCCAAATTAAAAGCTTTGAGAGATGAGATCGGTTAGTATTTATTTACAGTCAGGCCCCTCTAAATGTACGCCCTATGAAATGCTTCCTAAATGCAAGTCTTCGCTTGGGCCCAACTAATACTTATAGATTTTTCCCTCCCTAAATGCAACCTCTCTAAAAGTATGCTTGACCAAATTTTTACATATGGTCTCGTCATAATGCATTTAGAGAGTTCTGACTGTACTTATTTTTATTTTCTTACCTCATGTTAAGCTATCTTTGTTTCCCTCAAAAGCTATATACTATTAATAATGGATTAATATTTTAAAATTAGAATCAAAATATAAAGTTGATACAAGAATGTATGCAATGGATTTTACCAAGGGTGATAGAATGGACTATTCAAATTTAAAGGATATAATTGACGAAATTGATGTTGGAGTATTGATTAATAATGTTGCTACAAATCATGAAATTCCAACACCATTTTATCTTGAGGATGACGAAATTATTCACAATATTGTTGAAGTTAATATTGCAGGACTTTTAAAAGTTACCAAGATTGTATTATCAAAGATGCTTCCAAAGTTTGTTTTCTCAATTAATTTATATTTTTAACCTTTCAAAAAAAAAAAAAAAAAAAAATCCGAATTTTTAATTATTTTCCATTCAAATAGGAATCGAGGACTTATTATTAATGTCGGATCATTTTCTGGAACGATTCCGACACCATACTTATCGGTATATTCCGGTTCAAAGGCTTTTATGAATGCATGGTCACAGGCGATAGGAGCAGAACTTAAATCAAAAGGGATCCTTGTTGAAAATGTTAATACTTATTTCGTGGTATGTTTTTTTAAATTAAGTTATTCGCAAATTCAATTCTTAATTATCTCAATTCTCACTTTTCACTTCTCGGTTAAATTTTTATTCTATTATCTTTGGCTGCAAAAACAATTGATTTTTTATAAGGTATCGGCCATGTCAAAAATTCGGAAACCATCTCTCCTAATCCCATTACCAGGACCATATGTCAAATCAGTATTATCTAAGATTGGAATTCCTGGAGGAGCATCCTATTATCCTTTCAATTCTAATACATATCCTTCTCATGCATTGGTTAACTGGTTAATTACTAATACACTTAGTTGGAGTTTCTGGGTAAATTATACTCTTGGTATGTATTGATAATCATTGTTTCATACATATACACATATATGCTTATATTTGGGTATTTGAATCATAAAGTATATAAACTTATTGTTTCATTCTGTTCAAAAAGGTCAACAAAAAGATATTAGAAAACGCGCTTTAAGAAAGAGAGAGAGAGAGAAGGAGGCTGCTAAGTCTCAGTGATTTAAAACTAGAGGGAATACTCAATGAAACATTCGAACAAGGTCGAGTTCATCTTTGAGAACCCATCATGTGCGCCCGATTCTTCCAACACTGACCGTTGTTTGATGCGCACAAAAACCATCATGGGTGCAAAATAAGTTTTTCTTTTTATTACATTGCACGCGCGAGGATAACTAATCTTTCTTTTTTTTTTTTTTTTTTTTGTCTTCTCTTTTTTACAATTTTGGCATTAAAATAACAAAACTTTAACATTGTAATAGCTTTACATCATTTATTATCTTTTAATTTTTGATGTTTGATGTTTTAATGAAAAACAAAATTCATAAATTCATATAAACGTAAATCAAGTAAAAAGTACTTATAATTTCTAATTATAACATGGCCAAAACCGGGTGTACTGTACATTTATAACTTCAGGTGGTTTCTTATGTTATTTCTCGACAATTTGCGCGCGAAATATTCAATAATGTCCGCTATGGATATAATAATGAGTAATACAGTAGTACGTATGACATTGATAATTTGAGTGGCTTACCAGTTTGTACAGGTTCTTCCATTGGCACCTGTATATTATATAAAAGTTTTTGAATAAAATTCAAAATTTAAATTATGACGATGCATTTAGGAGGAAAAATAGGTCAACTAACCAAATGACCAGTATCCACACATATAATCTCACAATCTTGACATTGTGTTGCTCTAAGAAGAGCCACATCTCTACTACTGTGAAGAGAAAACCATATTATGAATTGTATGAAACTGACTGATTAAAATTAACACAGGTAATGCTTACTCGTAATTCGATTTACTACCAACAACAAATAGAATGGGACATTGAATTTTCGGTAGTTGATAAAATGATGAGACTTGTGATATCGGTTCGTGAAAAAATGTATACTAATGTCGCAAATTAGAAAGAGTTAAATCTTGAATTATGCTAAAATGAAAAAAAAAAAACAAAGAACATACAAATTCTTGAATTTTAGGACATTTTAATGTAACTTCTCCGGATGGCAATTCATATAATCCATATTGCTATATTATGAATCATAAATCATTAAATTTGAATTTTTAAATTAAAAACGAGTATATATATAATGAATATATAAATATAATGAATAAATAAATGGGTTCTTTGCCTTGAAAATCACCTTCCGACATTTCAGATCGGACAATAATAAACCCGAGTACCGGTTCATGTTCATATGTTAATCATCTTTTAACTTTATTAATTCAATAGCGATAGCGATAGTTTATCGAATAATTATTAAATCAATAAAAGTAAACGATGATAACATATGAACATGAACCGGTATTCGGGTTATTTTTGTCAAATGTCGGAAGGTGATTTTTCAAGGCAAAGACCCCAAATATTAATAATTATCATTAATAAATGAATAAAGATTAATAATTTTACTTACAACATAAAGATTAAGCATTTCAGGGTTCCAACTTTGAAAAAATGGGTTTGTACTAAAACCAGCGTGTGCTGTTTCTCTATTAAAAGTTTATGAAAAAAATTTAGATTTTTGTACCTTAAAATATAAACATTCATTCTTACCTATCCGGCCATCTGTCTCTTCTTTTTTTAACAGTTGCGTCATTCATTCTGGATCTTTTAATGTGTATAGGATGACTTATAGGCTCAATGGCAATAATACTAGCGAAAGTACCAGGACGAATAGTTTCTGCCATTAACCTAAAATAATCACGTGATCTGTAAGTATAAAACTGTGAAAAAATATATCAATGTTCTCAAATGACCTAGTTAATTATAAGTTCATTACATTAATAATAGTGAAGAAAATTTTGTTCATTCGTTTTGGTCATTTAAAAGTTCATTTAAAAGTCAATTTGAGAACATTATTACAAGTAGTAGTATAAGAAAACTTCTCACATGGAAGCTCCACCAAATGAATGCCCTATACCAATAATTGGTTTTTTAATTTTTGCCTCATCGATAAGTTGAAGAATATCGCGAGAAAAGTCGGGCCATTCGACTAAATTTAATGATCCAATTAAATTTCAATGGTAATAAAATAAATCACGATAAACAAATCTAGGACTTACAACTATTAGGCAAAACATCTTTATTTAATAATGCACTATCACCATGATTCGAACAATCCAAGGTCCAGATATCACCACCGTTCCATTGATGTCTTTGTTCATGTAATTTTTTTATGATAGGATTCCATAATTCTTTATGAAATCCTGTAGCATGTGCAAATACAAGTGATATTTTGTCATTGTTGTTTTTTGTATCTATGTCCGTTGTCACATAAGAATTTGCTGCGATTCGGAGACGACCACCCTGTCCTGGTATTCTACGCTCTAAAGAAGCCGGAAATATATGTGAAATAATATTAAGCGTTGACATTATTTCTGTGAGCGAATGGACGTACGTACGTATGTACTTATATGAGCGTGATTTTTTATAATGTTAAATAATTATTATTTAAGCTGACATAATCAACATTTATAATTGAAAATCTACGCTTACTAGTGATTTAACCATAAAAATTGTAAGTCACTTGTGCGTTTAAATGGTTTTCAAGTGACTTAATGGTTTTCATTTGGTATAACGATAACTTAGCGTTAGCTTTGTTAAGTGAACCTTTTTAAGGGTTAGAACGAATTTTTTTTTATATATATAATTATAATGAGTTTCGGCAAAAAAAAAAGTCGTAATTCACTATAATTATGACCAATTACTGATCGTAATTCACTATAACTATAACCAATTACGGCATTGCGCTTATACCTCTAATCGTAACCCATGCAAAGTACCCCATATAAAATGTAAGTGTGTAGAATATTGCTAAAGTATAATGCCCTGGGTGCTACTTTGATTTCAGGTACCGCGATCCGTATCCGGTGGCAATCACTTCAATGCTATTGGTTTTAGAGGGAAGTATTCTGGTGGAGGTAGGTAATGTACGGATAACACATTATTGAAATTAAAACTTGGTTTATCAACCGGAATCTAATGATTAGTATACCACACGATTCGTCTCATCAAGACAAATTAAACACGTAATATAAAAAACATTCGATTCTGAGTAACGGATTGCATGTAAAATAATTGTACAAAAACACCGATTTAGCGGATAATTGTCATAATGCATACATAGATTTATAATTATTCCCGTTTATAGTTAATCTGATGATTCGCCCTTTACCGACCGTTGAAATTACTTAAAAGTTGTGCAAATATAATATTTTGAAATAAAATTTTGTAATTATAATATCAATGAAATTTTACTATTGGCGAATTTTAACTTCTCTCTACCTTATAACGATAATTTGTAGATTGTCACGTCATGTTATGTCGGTTAAATGACTTGTCAGTAAAATATAATACGTACATACCAGATACGGATCTGTTTAATTTATTTAAAAATCAGAACTTTAAAAGCCAATTGGATAATATGTTGATCCTGCATCATTATTGAAATTTATAATGTTCCTGGTTTTAGAGTGCAGCTATCATGTGGATATATAATACATATCGAGAATAGTTACTATTCAATCATGGCCTTTATTTAGAGTATACTGTATAGCAAAATAATAAGGTACGTATGGAAATGCCAATGACGGACGTATGGAAATCATGATAGTACCGTACGTATCTAGTATGGTTTGTAAAAGAGAGCAAATTCTTCAAAGTTATTTTCCCTATGATCTGACCTTGTCCTAACACAAAAAAAAGATAATACTATAACCATTAAAAAAGGATTACTGATAAGAATTAAACTTCGTAAGTCATTATATTTCACGGCCCCTAATGTTCGCCCGTGAACATTTCTGATGATATTTTTATGATGACGTAAAGCCGTGAAAATATCAAAATTATTCCACGGTCATTACGTCATTAAAAATTTTATTCAGGAATGTTACGGGCATAGGAACCGTGAAATATATCAGATATTCAACGGTGTGTGCCGTGACATCATATATTACCACGGCTTCGCCGTGCTGATCCATGATATTCACAGCAGCCCGTGGAATATCTATTACATAAAACGTTTGGTTGACATGTGTAATAGTATCATGGATTAGCACGGCGAAACCGGTACACCGTTGAATATCTGATATATTTCACGGTTCCTATGCCCGTAACATTTCTGATTAAAATTTTTAATGATGACGTAATGCCCGTGGCATAATTTTGATATTGGGTTCACCTTTTTTGATATCTCCACACCCTTGTAGATCACTTATTTTTAAAACTTTGATCGAAAATATCTCGGAAATAACCTGATAAAATTCGATGAACTTTTTTTATTTGAACTATGGTTTCATAAAATTAGAATAAAAAAAAGTTCATCGAATTTGATTAAGTGGTTGTCGAGATACCTTCGATCAAAATCATGCACTAATATGCCGCGGCTTATATTATAGAAATTTTAAATTTCCAAACTTTAATCAAAGATATCTCGGCAACTACCAATGAAATTCGATGAACTTTTTTTTCTTTGAATCTATAGATTTATAGAATTCAAATAAAAAAAGTTTTATCGAAATTTATCAGGTGGTTGTCGAGATACATTCAATCAATTTATGAAAAAATCCGCCGCGGCTTACATTTTAACAGATGTTTAAAATTTTTCTAAAATTTTCATCGAAGACATCTCAACAACTACCAAATGAAATTCGATGAAATTTTTTTATCCGAATTCTATGGATTTACAGAATGCAAAGAAAAAAAGTTCATCAAATTTCATCGGTTAGTTGTCGAGATATCTTCGATGAAAGTTTTAGAAAATTTTAAAACGTCTATCAAAATGTAAGCCGCGACAAATTTGTGCATGATTTAATCGAAGGTATCTCGGCAACCACTTGATAAAATTCGATAAATTTTTTTTTATTCGAATTTTATGAATCCATAGAATTCAAATAAAAAAACGTTTATCGAATTTTATCAAGTGGTTGCCGAGATACCTTCGAACAAAGTTTTAAAAATAAGTGATCTAGGCGTGGAAATATCAAAAGGGGGCAGTCCCATTATATTTTCACGCATTACATCCTCATAAAAATATGTTCACGGGCGAACGTTAGGGAACGTGGAATATATATATATATATTATTTATTTATTTATTAAATATTCAATAAAGGATTTGGCAACAATAAACTATATGTTCAATATTTGAATATACTATTTGAATAATACTTCATTGGATAAAATTATACATAACATATATTAATTTACAAGAGTGATAAAAATACATAAACTTAAACGTTCTTATCTCCCACATTTTTATCCTTATCTCCCACATTTTTATTTTTATCTTTTTTGACCAGATCACCTTCCGATTCTGGGTCAAATCGATATATGGGAAATTCCAAGAACAAAGTACTCTTTATAATTTGTGGCAACGGTTCATATAATTGTGGTGGAAATGGAATTAAACAACTTGTACGAGATAGGTACTGAGAATATTTAGGCCAATTCTCAGCTTTGAATTGTTTTATGTGAACTGGACGTTCGCTTACTGGCATTCCAGTTATAAATAGTAAAACCACTATAGGAAGATATAAAGATGAATAATTGACGATAGAGAATAAAAGATATATGAAATAGAAAAAAATACTTGCCAATAGTGACTAATGGAGAGAGTAAAGAAACAGATATTGCTGCTGGATCAACGATATTAGATTGTAGACATAATAAATATATTCCGATCCTAAAATTACAATAATAAATAATCTTTTAACAACACTTAGTATATTTATGAAATAATTAACAATAAAACTTACCAAATCTGCTCAGTTTAAACCATTTATTTTTGTTGTATATTGAATTAGATGATAAAATGTATTAACAATACATATAACGTAAAAATAACTATACATACCATAATTTCGCCAAAATAATTTGGATGTCTACTCCAAGCCCAAAGACCAGTTTGTATAAACTCATTCGGTGATGTTCGCTTAATACGAAATATCAACTATAATACATATAATGATAGTGGAAATAATTAGCTGATAATGTTAATGCTAATTACCAACATAAAAAAAATCAGATACCTTATGAATATCTGCAATAGATTCAATTAAAAATCCAATAACAAACAAAATAATTCCCAAAATATCTGTGACGCTTCCAAATTTTGGATCTGCGAATTCGACAATTTTTGGGGAATTCATGAATGAAACTGGTATACTAATGGCCCAGACCCAGCTTATTTGAAGGAAAAAAAATCCAAAAAGTTTTAAAAAATGTGGACGAATTGGGTCAAAACGAGAATCAATATGACCGGATTTTAGTGTTCTATATAGGCAAAAGACTAACAAAGGCAAATAAGTAAATAAAATTATTTAAAAGGATGATAATTGATGAATCAAAAAAATGTAACCTTACATCCAAATCGAAGTGCCCATATAATTTGAAATGTTGTAGCAACTATTTGACGGGTGTGATATGTCTACGTAGATATGCATATATTCAGTTTATTAACCATATAATATGTATATTAAGTTATAACATATATAGTACTGTAATAGTTAATCTTTCTAATATTTACCTGACTAAGAACTAAAGTTAAGATGGCAAGTAATGCTACATTTGACCCTCCTATGATTTAGATTATCAGTTATTGCAATGTTATAATGAATGAAATCCAAATGTTTTATCATTAAACAAACCGCCTATATCCGTAGCTATCAATTTATTTAAAGATTATGAATATTAAAAAAATCATAAAAGAAATAATTAATTTTGCATGGCCTAAATTAAAATTATATTTCATACCAGTATCAACTTCCAAAGTATAGGTGATAATAAATACTATTAACTGATATACAAACGTAATGATTATGGTTATGGGCAAATAGCAATCACCTATTACGTTAACCGCCATGTTTATGAACTTCAAGATCAAAAGGAAATTACCTATCTATTTATACAGCATGATAAGATTTTTTTTCAAAGTTGCAGAATTGGTAATAAAAGAACAATCGTTCAAAATTGGTAATAAAATAATGCGAAGATTTGGGAACACCTGATCCGGTTTCTTCGATTGATATTCATTGATAGGCCATTTAAATACAAACAATTAAACCAAAAATAAGACAAATTGAAATTTCGTACGTACGTACGTAAACGAAATCTTTTTTATGGACGTACTTACATAGGAATTTTTTTTTTCTAAAAATAGATTAATGATGATTTAACGTTCGCCGGAGGTCAAATTCACCGAGCGTTATTTCTCAAAAATGTCTTTAGTAATTTGTATTTGGGTATACCAATTAAAATGTTTAACATTCTAAAAACTTCCCAACCTTTACTTTAATTCGAACTCTAACTCTTAAGTCTAATCTTTAACATTGGAGGTAAATCTTATAAGGTTTACCTCCAGCAATTTCTTATTATTATGATTTTTCTAACGCTAATTAAAATCTTGTGTAATAACGCCTTAGATCCTAGGCGTTGAAATTTGTTTATTTTGGCAAGCAGTGTTGGCAACTTTATATGACCAAAGTGGTCATAATGTAATACGTATCTGGTATACTAGTACGTACGTACGTATAAATTTTATGTCATAACGATAACAGGTCATAGGGTAATAATAGGTCAACACTGTTACGTAGCAAGTAATACAAATCCAAAAAGGAAAAAACATAAGAGCATAGCGGAGGACTTACAATTAGAGATGCGTATCGGCTCATCGGCTCTATTGATTAATCGGTTTTTATTATACTGAATATACAAGCCGATTGAGCCGTTTAGCATCACTACTTACAATTAGTGTTCAATTTCAAAAAACGAGTTTAAATTTTTTTACTGCGTATTTTGGGTGAGTCAATAGGAACAAAGCAAAATTTTTTTTATTAAATTTTGTTATAAAAGAATTTTATCATTTGGCGCAGGTGTGTCGTAACGCATCTCATAAGATCAGGTGCAACGTAAAGTCAAAACAAACCTAGTAGCGCACTACTTTAGGGTTAGGGTAAAACCCATTCCTACCCCAAAATTTAGCAAGGAATTTTTTTCGTTAGAGCATGAAGGCAGGTTTTACGATCTTATTGGTTGACCACATGCGTTAAATCAGTGTTGGGCTGGACATTGGACATGGAATAGATTAGTGGGTCCACCAAAATTCAGCAAATCGGCCCGAATTTGGGGTCAGGGATGGGCCGGAGCAAAGTGGCATTAAGCAATAATACCGACCGACTATATTATTATTATAGCAAAATTATCATTTGGGCAGCTTTACTTAGTAGTAAAATTTTGGGTGATTTTGAAAAAATTTGTTAATTCAGGCCAAATTCGAGCCGATTTGCTGAATTCTGGTGGACCCTCTAATCTACTCTTGGACATGGACATTGGACCACCCTTGTTCAGTCCAGTCCAATCCATTGGACCAAAAAGTATTGGACATTGGACATGCGTAATATATTGGGGCGTCTAATATTATAATTAATCAAAACTATGTAAGGTCAATCAATAAATATATAATAGATTTTGTAAAAGTTGTAGATCATTTGGAGTATCAAAGAGCAAATTTATATATAAATTAAAAAAAAATTTACGTAAAATGATTAAATAATTTTTCTTGCATATTAATGTAAAAAAATTTTCTGTAATTTTGTTCGTATTGTCACAATTATTATAAATAAAAAATTTGAGCGAAAGCTATCGAGCCAGTAAGTTTAAATATCTAATTTTATAGTGAAACTATGCATAATTAAATATTAACTTATAATATACTATGTGTATAGAATGGGTATCCATCAACCAAAATTAAAAGCTTCACATAAACGAAAATTTCAGTTAAAAATGCAAAAAAGAAACTGAATCACAAAAAAATACTGACTTACGAAATAAAATTAATCAATATTTGGAAAATATGAATTATCTTCAATTAAACCAAGTTCACAATTATATTATTAAGGAATTAAACGTTGAGACAACTGAGGCAACTAGTGAAATTGACAACCAAGTAGAACTGATATTTATTATTTTGCAATTACCTAATCAGCAAGTTTATTTAGCTACTGCATTGTTTGAAAATATGCGTTATTTCAAGGTGTTAATGTAGGAAAAATCTTATTATTATATTTTCAACAAAAAGCTAAAATATTTATTGATCAGAGTTTATATAAAACTTGTAAAACACCTAATTCATTATTAAAACTAATAATAATTTGTGTTTGGAAAATATTCATTTACAAAAACTTTTACTTGCATTCAAAAGTCTAAAGTGAATTCTACTCAAAAACTTCGAAGTTTAAGTAGAAAAATTTCACAATTAACAAGAAAATGAAGAAATCAAAAATTTAAAATTTATGCAAATGTTTAATGACTATTAGTAGATTTTCAAAGGTTTAATGTAGCAATTAATTCTCTTATAATGGAAAACAAAAAAGAATATAAATCTGATTTTATAAATATAATGATACAAATGTCACAAGTTGGTAAGTTATCATTTTATAGCACAATAGAAACAACACAATTATTTTTAGAATTTTTAACTAGAAAGCCAAATTTATATAGTCCATCACTTCAATCACTTATTAATTGATACAAAGAAGTTTCTGAATTATATGTCAGTTGATTAACTAAAAATATAGACATTTCTGATTTTTTTTTCATTTGGCTTGATAGGTAATGAATTAAAACATAAAGAGTAAAAAATTTTTGTTAGCTGTATAATATATTGGAATGATTCAACAAATTTACCAGATAAGTGTCTTCTTGAAGTCAAAGATTTAATATATTGCAACAGAAATACTATTGCTCAAGCCTTTACAAATATATGTATTCAATTTGAACTTAATTTACAACAATATTTTACATGTTTGTCAAATAATACAAATTATATGAGTAGTAAATTAGAAGGAGCTATAGCAAAGTTTAATTTGACAATTATACAAAATGTTATCAAATTCCTTGTAGAATTCATATAGTATATATAATTATAATAGGTTTTGAAGAGACTGCATTTGGAAAACTGCCTCCAGCTGCAGGTTTAATAGATAAAAAAATTCTATTTAATCTTTTAAAATTAGCTTACAAACTTTATAATAGTTATAGAGATAGTGATAAAAAAAGTCCTATGGATATACAATCTGAACATATTTATTATCTTTATAAAGATTTAATAGAATATAAAATAACAAAATATCAAAATCCAATTTCAACTTGCTGGCTTTATGAGCTTAAATGTGAAGAACAATATCTTTATCATTATGATGTATATAATTTATTTGTTAATTAGTTTATACCTTAATTAAAGTTATATAAAACGACATCACAAAGATATTTTAAGAAATGGAAGCTTTTTCAAAGTGGTTTAATAATCCTTTATTAAATATTCAATTAAAAAGTTTAGTCAAATTTGAAAATAAATTTTATTATCTAATGATTAAATTTATGGCTAGATTCAACCAGATCCTAAACTTATTAGAAATAATTTATTAACTCATCTTCTGATAGGATGTTATTTATACCAAATGCCTGAATTTATTCTTCGTATTATAGGTAAATTGTCAACTATAAAGGTTTGGGTCCCATAGCTTAGCAGTTAAGCTCCTAAACTCCCACATACTAGGTCAACAGTTCAAGTCGGGCTGGAGGCAAATTTTAATAAAATTTGCTTCTGTAACCTATGAGGACCATTAAAATCAAATGCAAAGCCTTGTAGAAAGTTCAAGTGCAGTATAAAACCAGAATAAGAAGTTCTCGGAAGGAGACCAGATTATGAAGCATAGGCATTATATGTGATGCAGTATCACAAAAGGTTAGATTATATAAAGATCATGTGAATTAGTCCTTCAGTTGGGATGACCTGGAGGTTATACCAACATCCCTGCATCCAACTTGTGGGGTACTTGCTTGGGAGGGTGATATGACAGTAGCTAAAACAGGAGTAATAAGAGAAGCAGTGATACATGACTATGAACTGTGATAAAGGATCATACCTTAACTGGAATTGAAAGCACTTCTGGCCTTGCGGAACAACTAATTTAGGAAAGTTACTTGGCATAGAGAGTGTAACCTGTCTTTGTACAACTAAAGAAACCAAATCAGACTCTGGTCGCATCTATATGAAAGTCTATAATGAAAAGAGTTAAGAATTTATCAGTATGAATACTACACCAACCAGGGTTGAGATACCCCAAGCTGGAAGTTATACAATATGTAC